TTTCAGTTGTAAAACCACTTCATTTTATTTTTAACTGTAGGATGGAAAGCATTAAAATGGTTGTGTTGTATGGTGCATGGTTCAAATCGATACCATGCACACACAGGTAACTACGTTATCTTCAGTTGTTGGAAAAAGCTTTATACTGTATATCCATTATAATTTTTTACTTTGCGTCAAAGCTTTTAAAMATCTTGAAATTGGTACATTGAAGATTGACCGCTTCTGACACTCAGTACATTTTCACAACAGTGTTTAGTGGGAAGGGTACTCTGTGGGGCGGGWGGAGATAAATAGGCGGTGTTTTGTACCAGCAAGCGTTTAGAAAGCTCCACATGGCTACCACAGGAAATTTAAGGATTTCTCAAACATGCATGAATGAGTCAAAGTAACACTGTCTATGGGTGTATTCAGACCAGGAAAGTCCTTTGGTCCCATTGTTTGGTCCGGACCAAAAACGGACTTTTTTTTTCGTTTGGTGCGGTTTGCATTCACATTGTGCTTTTTTGCAAATGAACTATAAGTTGTAAACAAAGCAATCAGACTGACGATCATTGCTCCCATTGGACAAAAAAAAAGACGGGGGCGGGACTGAGCCACAGACCCAGAAGAAAACAAAAGTCCTGCATGCTGCGGTTCTGATGTGAACATTTTTGCTGATAGTACAACTGCAATAGCATTTAAAATGTCAGAAGCAGCTAATTTAATGGTGGCTCCGTGATAATATTCTAATTTTTGAGCGACGTCAGTAAATGTGTCCCGCGACCCAAAGGAGATGAGGTGCTCTGTGTGTCATCATGACCCACTACATGCTGCCAGCAGAGCTGCTAACAGGACACGACGAAACAAGTTTGATTTCAGTTTATTTAGCTCAGCAACGGTGGCCTGTGAAGTCCAAAAAGGTGCATGTTTAATGCAGTTGGTTCRGTTAGAGTCCGGTCTGTATTCACACCAGAAGAGAACTGAAGTGAACCGCACCAAAGTTCGTTTGGAAGCGGACCGAGACCACCTCAAAAATCAGGTCTCGGTCCGGTTGTTTGATCCGCACCAGAGTTCGCATGAGTGTATTCACACCTGCACAAAAGGCCCGGACCAACGCTGGAAACGAACTCTGGTTCGTTTAAAGCGGAGCAAATTATCAGGTCTGAATACGACCTATGTTTCYGATGACAGAATGACTTCATGATATAAAGCTCAAAAAAGCAGCTTTTGCACAACACCCCCCTTCCCCCCTTTAAAAAAGTTGAAACACATACTTTAAGATCAGCTGTATTATTCTGTCATTGTTATGAACGGCTTGGGTTGGTTAGAACCCCAAGAAGCAGGACTGAGTGAGTTTATCAAAAAAAAAATTATTAAAGAAAAATAGCTGTCAAGGCAGCAAACTAAATACAAAGACTTGACTATGACATGACATGAACCACRAACAGAAGACAAGGATCTGACAAAGACTGAGGACAAAGGACAGAATATAAAGGGAGAACTAATGAGTTAAAACAAGAAAAACCTGGAGAAGAAACATGAGGACCAGGTGTGTGTGGGCGGGGCCGAGCAAAGGCAGACGGGAGTAAAACAGAGGGAAATGACAGAAAATCAGAATAAAGTCAAAACAAAACATGAAACCAGACAGAACATAACAGTCATTTTGCAGTATTTTAATTTTCATGAAATATTTTGCTAACAGACAAGAAAGGTTAAGTCCAACAACCAATTCCTAAACATCTTAGATCCTCAATAAAAACTGTGGAATGAAAGTCATTAGACAATATGCTAAGTCCTTAATAATATTTTGTTTTTGCCCATACTTCCATGTTTTGTTCCCATCTAAAACCTAAATGTTCAACAGTCAATAAGTARGGATCACCTCCCATGTGTCTCCTGCAGTTATCTGCATAACCAGGAGCTGGGAATATTCAATATTATGGAGTATATGTCATTTTAATTAATAACAATTTTTTACAGCAATAGGTATACATTATATATAGTTAAACTCATGATCAGAAAGTTGATGTTTGTTGATTAGAACTGAACATGAGTTTAATAAAACAAGTTGGAAAAACTTAAATCATTTAATCTGGAATGATTCTTCTTGTCCAAGTTTCATTGCTGCACAAAGTAACCCAGGAAACTTTCAACTAAATTCAGAAGAACCAAAGTTCTGCTGTCTGTAACTTCACCCTGTTTGCAGATCAGTGTTCCAGCCAAGCTGAAACAGAACCTACCTGATCCTTTTCTTTCCTACTGCCAACTTTTCCTCCTCCTCCGTCTCTGTCTTTGTCCAGCTCCACCACCATCCTGCTTCTTGGGTTTCTGACCTCGGAGCTCCGGCTCGGTTCTGTTTATCCAGCGGCTCCACCCACAACTTCTGCCGGGTTCAGCCCCRCCACACACCGGCAGGAAGCCTCGCCCAGCTCCCTCTGAAAACCAGGAGTTTACTCAAGGCACACAGTTTCATACAACTGCATTTGTCATGTTTATATGCAGAATTTGAAGTAGGCCTACTTAAATACATAAGTAAATGGTCACATCTTCAGCTTCAGATGTTTTGGTTTTGCATAAAAACATAATTTCTTCACTTTT